AGAACACCAGGAACTCTGACTGATACTATCTAGAAACTTGTACAAATCCTCCCACTCTTAAAATGAGAAAAATCTGTTTCTCCACCCTCTCTGGAGGTGCTCTGGAGAAGAGCACCAATGATGTCCTTGTCACCAAATCTAAAGGTCACCTGGGACAGCTCTGCTCGGCCCTGACCTGGCTTCTCCTCCCGGCCTTGCTCTCCCCAGCCCCAGGGCTCCCTTCTCTCCTGTTCTTCCTCCATTGCGGGCCCCTCTTCCACGCTGTCCTGGAAATGTCTCCAGCACCGACCGAGGGCTCCAGCCTCAACTTTGTGCCCATTTCACCCCGCAGGCTCCCCAGGGCACTGTCACACCCATGGCATGGCCCCTGCCTCCCCCACTGCCATAGACTGCCCTGTTGGAAACTTCCACCTAACCCAGCACGTCTGCAGTGCCCACTGCCTCCAGCCCCTGCCCCCACCCCATGTCCCAGCCTGCTCACTCAGTCTCCCAAACTCAAAACTCAGGACCCACTGCACAAGTCGGCCTCCTAGCACATTCAGTTCCTCTCACCTAAGCGATCATGAAATCGCCCTTTTCTTTTGAAACATTACCCCCACCTCTGCGGCTCCACGCTCGCTCGGCCTCAATCTCGGAATCTTCCTGGGCTCTTGCAACAGCTCCCTGAATGGCTCCCCGCTGCCCCTTCCCAGTCATCCCACACATTTCTCCACCACAGCAGAGCAGGTCTGAGCTTCCTGGACTAGGCTGACCACACCACCTCCCCAAACACATCCCCATGGTTCCCCACTGGTGACAGACAGCAATGCCCCTTCTCCTTCTTTCCAAAGCTTCTTACATGGATTGTGGTGTCCCATCCCATACCTTCTGAAACAGAAAGTCCAGGAGAAAAGTTAGGACTAATCACTGTCCTCAGGCATAACCAAGCACATCCGGGCAACCTGGACCCAGTGATACCCAAACTGCTTCAAGAAGCTTTTTAGAAAGTTAGTTAAAAATGACTCCCAGGCTTACTCCTTTGGCAATTCTGTGGATGGTGGATGCAAGAGATTTTTCCAGAAGGTTCTCCATCACCAGAACCAGGTGGGGAACCACTGCTCTACATTCTGGGCCATGTGGAGTTAACTTGAGCCTGGTTAGCGCCCTTTGTGCCTTAGCCTCCCCCTGGTTCTCACCATGCCCCCAAATTCTCCAGTGCTGTCCCAGCTGAGCAGAGGCACTCCATTCCCTACCCGGTGGCTCCATTCTGTATGTGGGTCCCACAAATGACTGCTAGAGACTCTGCTCAGCTCAGGTGAAGCCTCCACACCTTCCCTACTCTCTCCTAAGTCAGGTGTTCCCACTGGCCTCCGTGGGGTCACGTCCACTGCTGCCCCCTGCTCCACCTTTATCTCAGACGGCAATTACCCACACCTGCTTCTACACCCAACTGTGAAGCCCAGAACAGGGTCTTAATCCAGTTTATGCACACAGTGCACAGCACAGATGGTACCAGAGAAGTACCTGTCACCAAAAGCAATGTCAGTCCCCTCCATCCCCCAAGGGCTGTTAAGGGCCCGGGACCTTGGGAAAGGCCAAGCCAGCAGCACAGGGGACAAGGCCACAGAGTTCAGGCCAGGGTCCGAATGGCAGCTCCACTGCAGGGGCCAGGGGCTGCTTTTACTTCTCTCATCCCTCAGCTTTTGTAAACAAGATCCCCAAAGGTTTAGCACAGTGATTTTAAGAGCCAAAAAGTGAGTCTTGGGGCCTCCCTGGTTGCGCGAAGAGTTAAGCATCAGCACTATGAAGCAATCCACAGCCACTTCAGCACAAGTTCCAGTTCGAGTTCAATCCCCTGCCAGGGGGACCTCTCCTGTCTCCCCACTGCTCCCCTCAGCAGTGTATTTCAGTCAGTCTGCCTGTTCTGCTCCCCACTCTGTCCCTGGTGAATCCTCTCACCCCCCCCACCTCTGGCCTGCACCCCAGCTCTTGTATACATAAATAAATAAATCTTAAAAAAAAAAGTGAGTCTTACCGAGCAGATGATCCCTTTGAAAACCTTAAGAGGTGGTCTCTCTCCAGAGCTTCGAATTCCAAGCGTTTGGTCCTTTGGAGACTGGAAATCCTACAGGCTGGGTCTTGTCCACCCTGGGTCCGGAAAGTTAAGGGTGGTACCAGAAATAGGGCAGTCATTCAGAAACCGTGTGCTAAGTGAATGCCTTCCTGCGGGAGCCCCAGCATCACCCACACCCCTGGCGTCAACTTGCTGTCTCACCCGGGAAGACCATTTTGGTCTCTTCCCTTCTCTCTGGCAGCAGGGTGAGACTGTCTCCTTCTTAAGCTAATTGGGGGATAATGAGGCTACTTCTATGACCCATCTGGTTTAGTTCCCTCCCTCCTTTAAGTGAGGGGCTCTGATAGGCTACAGGGGCCTGCCAGCTGACATCTTTACCCGTTGTCTTCCTCCCAGAAGTCAGACATCCCAGGACCCCATACAGATGGAAATTTCATTTCATTTTCATTAAAGAAATATTTCATTTAACTTTTAGTTTATTCATTGCCTTTTTAAAGGCAAATATGGGGAGCGTTATCATTTCATGGGTACAGTGTCATGGTGAGAAAGTTCTGGAGATGGGCGGTGGGGATGGCTGGCCAATGTGCACGGACCCACGGCCTCTCAGCGCCCCGCACACCTGAGCAAGGCTAACATGGTAGGCATCAGGTATGTTTTCCGAGTGTTTTAAGAGAAAGTCCACGGTAAACTGAAAACACGCCATCCTGAGGCGGCGTACTGAGGCTGCACCTTGAGGCAAATGGGGACCAGAGGGAGGTTAAGAGGCAGGGGAAGGAGAAAATGGGGAGAGCTGAGCCCAGACCCTAGGAAGGAGCCCCAAGGAGGGCAGGGTGGGGAATCTCAGGAAGACAGCCACAGGGGCTGGGTCTTCAGCGGGGAGCAGGGCCAGCTGGCAGACTGCTGGTGTCTTCTCAGGAAATGTACTCCAAGCACCTCCCATGGCAACCCTCCCTCCAGTGTCCCGCCCTCGCTTTCCTGCCTGGGCAGTTGCAGGTCCAAACACATGAGCAAAGAGGACAGGACCTCCCTTTGAGGCACCTAATCTCTGGAACTTGCCCCTCCACCAGGAAGCCCTAGAGACCCAGGTCTAACCCCTGCCCCAGCCCATGGAGGCAGGGCACCAGGGGACCCATCTAAGAAGCGCTGACTCCCCAAGACCCAATAAACCTGCAAAATAAATGCAGGAGCCAAACAGCTGCCACAGTTGCCACCTGATAACCATGACAGGCTGTAGTGGCAACAACTATCCAAACCAGCCTCCCTGCCAGTCAGACTGAGCCTGTTCACACCTGTTCACTGAGCCTGTTCCAAGTCAGCTCAGGTCACTGCTCAAACCCCACAGCTCCTACTCCACCTCAGCCCTTTGCCCTCAGCACCTGGGATACCTGGGCCTTGATTCTAGGCCCCTAAAATGTCCCGCCTGATATGTCCCTGTCTTAGGGGACTTCAGACTATCTGGGGATGTTCTAATGAGATTTATAATGAAGGCTTTGGGACATGCAACCTCTGGAGGAATAGAGTAAAGGTGTCAGCCAGACTTCCGGGAGAGTGTCCTAGGCCATGCGACTAAACAAGGAAAAACGGACAACTGCTCAGGGGAGCATCCCTGTTGGCCAGGGTGGGTTGTCCAACAGTAGGAGGGGTGTCCAGGACTTGGGGTCTGAACCCCTCCTGTTAGGGGGAAAAGGATGTCCCAAAGCTAATTCCATATAGGCTTTGTGGACTCCACCCCCACCCCAGGCCAAAGCCAAAGACACTGGGAACTCCAAATCCCATCACCACCAAAGGGAAGGTGGCTGGGAACTGAGGGTGGGGTTAAGCAGCCAGGTTGGTATAAAGCCAGACACGTGGGCTTTGGAGGGGTTCCCCCATTTTGGCCCTCAGCCAGCTCGCAGCCCTCAGCCAGCTCTGAGAGTGCCTTTGGGTTTCCAGGTCAGCTGATCGGGTAGGTCGCATTAAAGACTTTATTTTCCTATTTTCTCCCCGAGTTATACATTTTCCTTATTTCCTTTTCCCTTGTAAATAAACCTTTTATTAACCTTTTGTGTGTGACTGTAGTGGAGTATTCATAAGTCCCTTTTAAGCGCGCGGGTGAGGACCCACAACCAGGCAACCCGTTCAATATCGGGGCTGCCCTGTAACACTCCTAGGCCCTGCCCCGTATACCTGTCCTTGGTTGATTGACAGTGTCTGCCCTGTGCTCTCCCTAGTTGAGTCATTCTAACAAATTACCCACCAAGGGCAGCTGTACATCTGAGGGAGGCCAGTCTGTGGGCACTGCGCCCTCCCTGTGCGTTCTGCCAGACTCTGCTTCCTGCCATGTGACCCTACTGACCTGCCCACCCCCAGCCCAGCAGACTCAACGCAACCCCTCTCCCTCCCCCTCCAGGGGCAAGCCTGCTTCCTCCCACTCCAGAGCACTGGAAGGCTCCCTCCCTCAGTCAAGACTTATTCAAATCACCCCAAACTCCTCCCTCAATTCCTGCTTTGCTTTTTCCTCTTTGAACCTTCACCACACCCCTTTTTACTCTCCTCACTAGAAAGATAAGCCCCAAGAGACAAAGGGAACTTTTGTACTTTGTTCCCTCCTGTCACCCCAGGACCCAGAACAACTCCTGGACTTGCTGAGTGTTCAGTAAATTCTTGTTGAAAAAATGACCTCTAGTATTCTCTAGAAGCATCTGTAGAAAACAGCCACCCCTCCCACTTTCTCTCCCTGAAAGGCCAGGCCTAAAAAAAAAACAGGCCAACAGCTGGCCAGAGCTCACTGCCCAAGGAAAGGAGAAAAGAGCCAGCAAGCTCCAGCCCTCCAGGAGAGCGCCTGCACAGTCTGGGGGGCGTGACCCTGGTCACAGCAGTTCGTTTGGACCTGGGCAGGTCCCTTTCTCTCTGGCCCGGAGCAGGGGATGGCGGAGGGGCAAAGGGAAGCGACATCCCCACAACAGAGGAGTGGATGGAAGACAAGACCTCACCAGGCAGGGATCACTTTTATTTGATGCCCAAAAAACCCCTATTTGAGGGGTTCATCTGTAACATATAATAAAAAATAAAAAAGGAGAAGAAGAACCCAGAACCCGAAGGACCGAGGTGGGGAGAGGAAGGCAGTGGCTCCCAGTCAGGCCTCGTAGGGGAAGTGCAGGAGCAGCCCCTCGTGGGGCTCCACGGTCAGTTTCTCCAGATCCAGAGTGGAGCCCTCCGTGCGGCCAGACTTTGTGCTGAGCATCAGTTCAACCTTGGCTGGCAGGCTGGTACCTCCAGGCAGGCTGATAGACTGCCAACTGATAGGTTGGCCCACTTCCTCAAAGTTGAGCAAGACCAGGAAACGCATGTTCTGGTCCCACAGGCGGACGTAGGAGAAGAGGTTGGACCCCAAGGAGATCTCGTGGAAGTCCCCGTGCAGCAGCGAGCGCTCCTTGCCCCTCTGATCACTCAGCCTCCGGAAGAGTGAGAGGAGGGAGCCTGGGTCTTTGCTCTGATCCTGCGAACGATGCAGACAGAGAGGGACAGGCTGTAGCACTGCCTAAGAGCAGTCCCCACAGCCACCACCCCGTGGACGGCTGCCCGCTAAAGCCTCACCTTCACAGAAGTCAGGTTGGTGTTTCCAGATCCAGCCGTGCTAGGATCACTGGATTCCCCCCAAGGCATGACTGGGGCCTTCGCAGGCTGCAAAGCAGGGAAAACCGGACTTGGACAAGGCCCTGGACTTGGACAAGGCCTGGGCCGGCTCTCCTTGACCCTCCTCTCCTGCCCCCAGGAGGCATAGCCTCCGCACCACCACCCAGGCCTAACTCCTGCGGGACAAGGCAGGCCCCACCTCAGGTCCCTCCAGCCTGGAGGGCTCGTCTCTCAGACATCCACAGGCCAGCTCCCTTGCGCCCCTGCCTCCGGGCTCTGCACAGCCCTCTCCAGCATTTCTGTGGTGGCTCAAGGTAAAATATCCCTATTCGCTAAGCCCCTGCAATTCCGGGCACAGCCCTTCTCAGCCCCTGTCATCGTTGTTTATTGGCTTATTGTCCAACGTCATTCCCTCCAGCTCCCCTGTGCGTGGACGTCTCTTCCAGGCTTCGGAGGAACAAAAGCCTCGGGGAATGGCTGGCTCCACAGGTAAGGACACAGGTGCCCCCCTTCAGCCTGGGACTAAAGCTGAGTAAGCACCTTCACGGTGTCCCCATTGCAACTCGCTGCCGGGCAAGTTTCTGCTTACTCAGCGGACGCCCTCACTGACTCTGAGTTCCTGGAGGCATGGAGTCGCCTCTTTCCCCTCAGTCAGTGAGCAGTGGCGACCACACTTGCCGGGCACCAGACGCTGCTGTAAAAAACACATCCTCATGTGACCCTAACAACCCTACCATAAAAGCAGCATCACGGAGGTGATCGGGACTCGAGGGGAAATAACCTGCCCAGGTCACACAGCCACGGATAAGGCAGCTGCACCCAAGATCCGTGTGTGCCTGCCGCCACGCATAGAACCGCCACGGGGGACGGCCACACCTCCCCGCACTGCACTGGGGGGCAGCAGCCATACCTGTCCAGCTGTCTGCAGGCCAATCTCATCCCCATAGCTGAAAACTGGGGTCCCCCGCAGGGTAAAGAACAGCAGGTAGTAGAGCCGGAGGAGTGGAGGCGGCACGAACCTGGTCATGAGCTCCCCCTGAGACAACTGAAGGAATGCACACACAGGTGAGCCCCAAAGCGCACCTCTACCTCCCTCTCCCCACAGCCCAACATCCCAAAGGCCCCTCTCCCCTCCTCCACCTAGGTACTCACAGCCCAGCTGCCCCAGCCATCACCAATGGCGTCCAAATACTGAGTGATCTGGGCCTTAGGATTCCCCATGGACAGGTATGAGCTTGTCAACAGCAGGTCCTTGGTGGATTCGAGCAGGTTTAGGATCTGATTAAGGTCGGAGGAGCCCGTCCCTGCAATCAAGAGCCTGCACAGAGCCGAGCAGGGGTCAAGGTAAGTAGAGACCGAGGAAGAAAGTGTGGAGGCAAAGAAAGCTTCTTGGACAAGGAACTCCCCCCTGGCTTGGGCCTAGGATTCAGAGGGGTTCACACAGTATGGGGGGGGGACCTGGTACCCACCTATCTTCACTGAAGCTCTTGGTGATATTCTGCCACTCGGTCAAGAGTGAAGGTGCATTCTAGAAGGGAAAGAGCAGAGTGAAGGAACAAGGTCACCACGAGGTCCTATCCAGGCCCTAATCTCACCCAGGCTCTCCACTCACGTGGCAGGGCACGTACCGTCAGAGTCTCCACATGCCGAAGCTGGAAGCCATCCACACCAGCCTGAAGCCAAAAACTCAGAGCATCCTACAGGGAAAGGGGGAAAAGAGTAGAGAAAAAATAGCAACACCAGTCAGAAACTTCAGATCGCATTAAACTTACCCACCACACACTGCCTTTGCCTGCAGAGAGCCATTCATCTTAAAGGGGCTCCCTTTCCCACCCCTGTTGTACAGGTTTAGCCATGACCCCTTCCTCCCCCATTCCCGGCTATCCTTGGTTGTCCAGTGCCATAGCATTTCACTTCTCTATTTCCTTCCCAGGGTGAACCACAGATCTCAACCTCTTGACACCTATAGAAAAGCCCAAGAGAACAGCTGTGTTCATAAAGATAGCTTCCTGTAACATGTGTGCAATCGCATTTTTGAAATGAGGAAACAGTCCCAGAGAAGCAGGGAAGCGTGCCAAGACCCCTGCAGAGATGTGACCCCAAAGGCTCGTCAAGATCCCAGGGTCTGGGTTTCCTGGAGCCTGGGGATGGTATAAGTGAAAAACCAGCCAGAACAGGGCCACGAATGTTAAGAATGAGCTTCAAAGCACAGCCCCAGGCAGTTTACACAAGGACTTGAGAAGAGGCGCACAACAGGCCCAGGCCTGCAGGTTTGGTGTGCCAGGGCCACGTAGCACAGAACGCTATGCCTGCTGCCTCTCTCTCTGCTCCACATGCTCTCCCCTCTTGTCTCCATAGTCAACTGAGACTACCAGCCCCTGTGCCATGCCATCGGAAAACAATCCCTCATCAGCCAATTTTAAAAATTCTTCTAGCAATTAGTGAGGACTGAACTGGAGCACCCCAAGGTGGGTGGCATTGCTGAGAGAACACACTTCTACTTCAGAATCACGAAAGCCAGCCAAGTGTCAGGGTCTGGCCCCATTTCTGTTCCACTCCATCTGAAGTGGCCAGTGTCCTGGAGTGCAAGCAACAGGAACTGAGGTGACATTCAAAGCCATTCTCCTGGCCTGCTGAGCAGAGTCTGAGCCTGTTCCTCCAGGAAGGCAGATAAGAGAAATAAGACTACTTGGGACCACAAATCCCTTGTGCAGTTAAGTCCTTCTGAACCTCACTTCCTCATTTACAGGTTAGGGGAGATGATCGCAACCATGTGGAGTTATACACGGTGTTAGAAAACTTAAATTAAACACATAGTCCAGTTGCAGACACATAGGAGACCCCAATGCTTGTAATTTCAAACTGGGCTCCATGCCAAAATACATCAAACAAGAACTGGGAAACCAGACAGGATAGGATTCCCACAGAGGAGAGGCTTCCTCTCCCTAAAGGAAGAAAAATCAAACCCAGAGTCAAGGAAACAAGAAAGATGAGCAGTAAAAAAAAGGAACAAAAATGGGAGTGCCTATTCTCCTGCTTGTGGGAGGGGCACACCCGCAAGGCCCCTGCACCGGAGCTGGGCGAGGTTACAGGGCAGGCTCCCACCTGCCATGGCACCAACACTCACCTTCATCTTGGTTTCCACATCGGCATGCTGGGCAGGCTGGAACCACGAGTCCTGGCCCCTGTAGTTGGGAGTAAGGTCCAGAATAACCCGGATGCCTAGAACAATGGAGGAAAAGGCAGTTATGAGAAAGACCTTGGAATGAGGAGAAAGGAGGAAATCAACAAACACAAGCCTGCAAAGTATTTCCTATGTATAACTCGATACAAAAGCTTACGATGTGAACCTTGGCCAAACCCGCTGCTCTGAAACAGGTGTGCACAAAGAAGGGCCTCAAGATCCTAGTGGTCTCAGGCACGCAGTGGGGAGGGGAAAGTGAAGCAATGAGTCCTAGGCTCCCCACCCCCAAAGTGAACCATTTTAAACCTTTCTCTATTGAGCTGAAAGAGAAAAATTTGGTGTTTTTCTTTTCCCAAAAGGATCCACTCTTCACGAGTTCAAATATCATCAACTTAGTAAACCCCTACATTTTGCAAATAAGGGCACCGAAGGCCTGAAGGTAAACGACCTACTCGGGATAACAATCAAGTAGAACTGTCTTAATCACTTGACAAACCCATCTTACACTGAAGCCCAGCACACCTCTCCTATACCTGCCCGAGCAACACTCGAGGTGGGCAGGAATAGACCAGACAAAAACTCCTATCCTGCCTGTCCTCTGGCCAGAATCCTAAGCTCTTCCTGGCTGCTTCCTTGCTAACTCCCGGACACCCACTCTTTTTCTTCGACGATTGCAGGAAATTGTCAAAATCTTCCTTGGAGCCAAGAGTGGGGTCGATCCTTTCCAAGTTGGTCGCAGAGAGGTCATCCTTCTGGTTCTCATGAATTGGGCCCAGCACGACGCCCTTCACCTTCAGCGTGCTCAGGTAATCCAGGTGCCCCTTCAGACCTGAAATGGGGGAGAAGCACTAGAGTGGATTCCCTCCGAGAGGCCCCTGATGTCTTCTTCCTCTCCCCGGACTAAGCGTGGGGGTCACGGGACTCGGGGGCAGCTGACGCAAGGAGCCGGGCACATGGCTTCTGAAACCGGCTGCGCAGGCCCCAGGCGTCCCGGGCGGGAGGGAGGGTGCGGAGTCCGCGGCCCTCGCGAAGGAAGGGGGCGCCGCTTTCTCCGAAGAAGGTTGGGAGGGGCCGCCCCAGGGTGCGGGCGCGGGAGCCGGCGCGGGCGGGAGAACCGCCGGCCGAGGCCGGGGACGGGGTCGGGGAGGGAGACCGGCGGGGCCGCGCGCGCGCGGGGCTCACCCTCGAGGCGGCCGGCGTCGCCGCCCTGGAAGGCCCGCAGGTCGCCGATGCGGTAGAGGGCGCCCGTGTGCCACCAGCGCTGCGCCGGCAGCTCCCGGCAGCGCGGCGCGCGCACGATGATGACCACGGCGCCGGCCAGCATGCCCAGCCAGCCGAGCCAGAAGAGCAGCAGCAGCGCGCGGCGCGTGCGCACCCAGCCGGGGCTGCCCGCCACCTTCAGCAGCTCCTCCTTGGACAGCCCCGTGAACTTGGCCGCGGCCGCCTCCCCCTCGTCGTCCGCCACCTTGAGCTTCACCAGGCCGTTCTTCTCCGCGCCGCCCGCCACGGCCGCCCCCGACGCCGCGTTCATCGGCTGCTTCTCGGGCTCCATCTCGTTCAGCTCCACCTCCTTCATGTCCACCTCGGCGTCCTGGCTCATGGTGCCTGCGGGACCGGCCACACGCCGCGAGCGCGCTCAGGAGGAGGCTGCGCGCCCCACACGACGGCCGGAGCTCGGCGGCTGACGCGACCCGCGCGGCTTCCGGGACGGCGTCTGCGGCCGGCGGGCGCGGCCGGGGGACAGCCTCGGAGCCCCGCCCCGCCCCGCCCCCGAGGCGGACCTCGGGGTGCGCCCTCTCCCCGGCCGCTCAGCGGGCGGCGGAGGCGGGGACAGCCGGGGCTGCGTCACCGGCCGGCGCGCCCCAGCTCCTCACCTCCAGCCTGCCCGCCCCCCAGGTGCCCCGGAGCGGTCGGGAAGAGGGAGCCACCCCTGTGCGGGCGGGGTCCGCGGGTGCCCCGGCCCGGCCCCGCCCGGCGCCGGGAAGTGGACGGGAGGGGCCGTCCAGCACCGAGGGCCTCTCTGGCCACTTGGAAGCTGGTGACCACAGCGGGCACCCTCCTACATGCGCCCTTGAGGCTCAGGGTTCAGGCCTCCTCCTGGTCTCCCCAACTTCGCTCGGACTCTTGCACCCCAGGTGCCCGGTCTCAACCGCAGCCATTTCCCCACCAGGCCCGTCCTCCCCAGCCCCTAGAACTTGGCGCTTGGCCTCCTCTACCCCGCACGGCTGACTCCCACTCGCCCTTCTAGACTCATCTGGAACTCCGTTCAGTTAATTCATCATGCAGCAATTATTTAATGAGCACCCACCACAATCCTTTGCTTTATTAACTTTACTGAATTAAATCTAATCCAGTCTTCTCCGTGATGCTGTACGATGAATCTGGACGGAAGTGGAGGCTCCCCCTTCACCCCCTGCCCCTCCCCGATTCTGGTGCTGGAATGTCCACAGTGAGGAATCCCATAGCTAGGAGAGCCAGGGGAGACACGAGTAAGCTCCCAGGCTGGGCTTCAGGGCAGCCACCTTCTCCCCCTACAATACACCGGGAGATGCCACCGCCAGACTACTCCCCCCTTGCAGGTCACCCCAGTTTCCCCAGGTTCCCTGCCCGCGGGCTCACTTCACTACCTAGGCCTAGGGGGCAGCCAGTACTTCAGAGGCCTGAAGGCCACTCAACTTCTCTCCACAGAGGCTCGAGATTACGAGTAAGTGGGAGAGAACCAGGCTTCGGAGCAGGGCCTGCTGGACATCAACTCAGGAGGTGCCAACACCTTCAGGAACTTCTTGTTCCTAAGCAGTGCCAGCGGGGTTATTTTCAGAGCGGAGCTGAAGGAAACAAGTCCTCGCTCCCTCTCCCACCTGGGCTGGAAGCCAGGGTGGCTGTGTATTTGAAAGAAAGCAGAAGCCCAGATCTGATGGAATAGCAGGTGGAAAGGGGTGCCAAAAGAGAGCCAAGGGTGTGAAAAGAAAAGGCTCAGCCTCCACCATTTCCCTTTCAGAACCCCAAAGCCCAGTCCCAGCCCCACCCAGAGGGAGTCAAACCAGTTCCTAGAGGGAGGCAGTCAGTGGGTACAGGCTGGTCTTCACAGCAGTGCTCAGAGATGATAAGCAGTCCAAGGTGCCCTGGGCAGGGCGGATAAGTGCCAACCAGGGGCTCTGAGCAGACTTTGTCCCAGTGTGAAAGCTCAAGGTTGAGAACTGTGCAGGCATAAGCACTGCTAGAGATGGTCCAACGTAACACCCCCAGGGACATAGTATTCAGCCCCAGGGCTCCAGAGAGATAAAGTCCATTCCTCCCCTCCCGCATGCAGTACAGGTACACAACAGGCCTCCCCCTATCAGCCCCAAGTCTTCCACAGAAACACCCCTCAGCCACACCAGGCTTCAAACCACTGCTGGGCTTGGTCAGGCCTCTGCACCTTTGTAAGTGCCATTCCTCGGTGCCTTGCCCTTCCTGATCCACCACACTTGTCTCATAAGCGCCTATGCATTTGAGACTCAGTTCAAATAACAGCTTTTCCCAAGCCCCCAAATTATTTTCCCATCTGTTATGCACCAACCTCTGCCATAACTCATGTCCCTTTTATTACACTCTCTGGTCCGTGTTTGCACTGTCAGGGGCTTGCGCTGTCCATGGGCCTGCCTGCTCCCAGGCAGCACAGAGGAAGTGCTTCACAAGTGGTGAGTAAATGAGTGATCAAACTGAGTATTTTCCTTGTAGCCACAAGTCAAAAGTAGTATGTGAAGATAAAGGGATAAAAATGAAAAAGGAGGGCCTCCCTGGTGGAGCAAGGGTTGAGACACAACCTATGAAGCTGTCCGCAGCCACTGCAGCACGAGTTCAATTCCCGACCAGTCAGGGAGCAACCCACATGGCACAGCCAACCTCTCCTGACTCGCCCCGCTGCTCCCCTTAGCAGTGTATTTCGTCAGTCTGCCTGTTCTGCTCCCCGCTTTGTCTCTGGTGAATCCTCTCACCCTCCTGCGCATCTGGTCTGTACCCTGCTTCTTGTATAAAAATAAATCTTTAAAAAAAAATAAAATAAATGAAAAAGGAATTTAAACAATGCTATTTCATATAAGATGCAATTGTTGGGGCCTCCCTGGTGGCGCAGGTGGTTGAACACAGAGCTATGAAGCTGTCTGCAGCCTCTGCAGCACGGGTTCGATCCCAGCCAGCCCAGGAGATACCCACATGGCACAAGAGACCTCTCCTGTCTCACCCGCTGCTTCACTCAGCAGTGTATTTCAGTTCAGTCAGTCTGCCTGTTCTGTTCCGTGCTGTCTCTGGTGAAGCATCTCACCCTCCAGCACATATGGCCTGTACCCTGGTTCTTATATGCATGAATAAATAAATCTGAAAAAAAAAATGCAGTTGTTTATATAGAAAAGCAAGCCAAGAATTGTGCCTGTTAAAAACAGAAAAAATAGGCATAAAATGGGGCAGGGGTGGGGCACCAGATATAATAGCTATTGCAGTTTCAACCTCTCCCCCAAGTGTGATCTTGAACCTATACACCCAGAGTTTCTTAGCCAGCACCAGTGAGGTCACCTGCATAAGACCCTTCTTTCCCCTGAGGGAAGGTGCTTTACCTGAAATAATCTGCTCTTTTGTTTATAATTTTGTCACCCCTCCTTCTGTCTATAAACACCCTTCATTTTGCGTGAGCCTTTGCAGCACCTGGATGGGATCGTGCCCAATTGGTAGATAATTTCTTGAAGTCAGTTTGATCTCTAATATGGTGAATTTTGGTATTTTTTTGTTAAATATTTATTTTTATTTATTTATGCATACAAAACTGCGGTGTAATCCAGAGGGGCGGGAGGGGGGAGGACTCACCAGAGACAGAGTGGAGAGCAGAACAGACAGATCCACTGAAATACACTGGTTTTTTTTGTTTGTTTGTTTTATTTTTTTTTTTTTTTATAGAGGCATGTTTTTTTTTTATTTATTTTTATTTGTTTGTTTGTTTTGTTTTTATACATGCACTGGGTACAGTCAGAAGCGCGGGAGGGTGAGAGAATTCACCAGAGCCAGAGCGGGTAGCAGAGCAGGCAGAAGGACCGAAGTACACTGCTGAGGGGAGCAGCGGGCGGCAGGAGAGGTCTGCGGGCCATGTGGGACCCTCCTCTGGTGGCTGGGGAGCAACCGGGGATCGAACTGGCGCTGCAGAGGCTGCGGGCAGCTTCGCAACCCAGCGCTCAACCGCTGCGCCACCGGGGAGGCCCTGTTTGTTTGTTTTAAAGATTTATTTATTTATACATACGAGCACTGGGTACAGTCAGAAGCGCAGGAGGGTGAGAGAATTCACCAGAGCCAGAGCGGGGAGCAGAGCAGGCAGAAGGACCGAAGTACATTGCTGAGGGGAGCAGCGGGCGGCAGGAGGGGTTTGCGCGCCTGTGGGACCCTCCTCCGGTGGCTGGGGAGCAAGCCAGGGATCGAACCGGCGCTGCAGAGGCTGCGGGCAGCTTCACAACCCAGCGCTCAACCGCTGCACCCCCGGGGAGGCCCTGAAATACACTGTTGAGGGGAGCAGCAGGCAAGACAGAAGAGGTCTGCTGCACCATATGTGGGTTAACTTCCAGGCTGGGGATGGAACTCAGACCACAGTGGCTGGCAATAGCTTGATAGCACTTAGACTTTACCCTTGCACCACCAGGGAGGCCTTGAATTTTGTTTTTTAACAAACTCTTCAACCACAATAAAACAAAGTAATAAACCTGGAGAAGAGGAGACAAGAAAAAATGCAGAGAAAGATGGCAGAGGCAGCTGGAGAGCCTCTGACCCTACCCTGTATGTTGATAAATATAAATCTCACTATTTACTATAAGAACACAAAGTTCTCATTTGTCAAGGAGAATGTAAAAAGATTTTGTGCCCCCCAGGGATGTAGTCATAAAAGAGTTGGTGAATCACTAAGTGTCTCTGAATGAAATAAATAAAAAATTGAATTAAAAGATTTAACAAAAATAAAAGATCTCAGAAGCTTCATTTCCACTGGACTTTCACAATAACTCCATTAGGAACAGAATACAGAAGTTTTCAAACCAACGCCAATACCTTTTATACACAGTCTGATCCACCCAAGATGAAAAGGACATCCCAGGACACATTTTAAGTAGACAGAAAGAAAGCTCAAGAAATAGTGGTATGGTTCAATGATTTGCCTAAAGAAAGGCTTTTTATTTTTAACTAAAAAGGAAAAAAAATCCCCTGTACAGCTGGCCAAGGTAATTGATGATGTTACAGTTGCTAAGTGTTTTCTTAGATTCTGTCAGGAAGAATTTAGTCTCCAAGAGTAGGTTGGGACAAAGCAAAGAAAGCAAGCAGTTCAACGCTCCAGAGACCAGAAAGACCCACATGAGGTCCTGAGTCTTCAGAATTTAACACTCAGGCAGGGAGCTGGGCCAAGTGTCGGAGAAGGTTCCTTTCCATATGGTTGCAAAAATTCATTTCATATGTTTCCCAACAGATGAGGATTACTTGATCTCAGCCAAGAGATAGGAAGTTATTTTCCCCCAGAGTGTTAAAAAAGAAAAAAAAAGGATTTGCAAAGACAGAGCAAGCAAACAGAGGAGGTAGTTAGAAACTCTTCAACCCACTGTCTCTGTCCAACAGACTGTAACTCTGCCAAAACCCAGGCTTATTCCAAGAACCCAGAAACAAAGTATCCAGGGGCTGCCTGGAAAATACCCAGACCTTGAGGATTCTAGCCATCTGAAAAGTGGATAATGGCTGAAATTAAGGAACTGAGCATTGGGAAGTCAATCAGCTGAGATGAAAGCAGCGGCCATCCAGTGGAATGTCAACAATCCGCATTTGAACTGACATTTATCCCAAAAGGGATCATAATTCCACTTTGGCAATTACTGCACTATCCATATTGTGGAATGAATGAAGAAAGTCTATTTAATTTCCATGTTCCAAGAATCCACTTGATATAGTAGCCTCAGGTGGAGGATTTATTAGATGCCAAACGGCGAGAACAGATAGTATCCTTTATCTTGAGCCAAAAACCAAAGAACTTACAAGTGACATGCTCGTCAGACCACAAAAGCAGCCTTCAAGCTGTTCCTTAATTCCACATCTTCAACTCCCCCTAAACAGTCTAATCCTTTCCTGGGAAAGCTTCCCAGTGGTGCATCCCTCCACCGTTACAGAAAATCTGTTCTCAAATTGAATTTTTGCATTAGAGGTGAACGTCTTTCTCCAGCTCTCAGTCACCCAGCGCTGCTCGTTCGCACCTCCGCGAAGGAGCGCAGGGCCTCTTGCTGCCAGGAGGGGGCAGAGCTACGCCGTGTGCAAAACGCCGTAGAGCAGCGTGCATCCTGGGAGACACGCCGTTCAAATAACGTCATTTATCATTTACCTCACAGCAGCCGCAGGCAGTCGATGAATTAATAGTGTCTTGTACATGATGAGGGTAAAATAATCAATTGCATAGACAAGATTCCTGACCTTGGGGAATTTATGCAAGAAAGAGGTCAAGTAGAGCAAGTCTACTCTTATCAGAGAGGTCCTCTCTGTCTAGAGAAATGGTATTTCCTCCCGTTAGGCCTCTTCCTTGTGGCCTTCCCTGATTAATTTATTTCTACGTTAGCATGCATCTCTCTGCCCATCTGTGTCTATGCGGGTGCTTTTTTTTTTTTTCCTTTCTCCTTTTCTTACTAAACCTGTCCTTTTAAAAACCGTTTTTTAATTCTACCATAGCATTTAACTCCACTTGACATAGTATTTGTTTCTGCCTATCCACCAGAATATAAGCTCCAAGGGCACAAAGGAGGGCTCCGGCTTTGTCCCGGTTTCATCTCCTGTGCCTAGCGTGTGCTCAACAAGTATCAGTGGGATCCATGTTAAAAGGTCACCCATGATGTCCCACTGCCAAGAACATTGACTTTTTTTCCTTTATCCCATTCAACCCCCTCTGTAGCTCCCAAAATGCAAATGTCCATAGGAAATTTCCTTTCCTAGATCGCCACACAAAGGGTCACAAACTCAGTCCTGGACCACCTTTGGCCCACAGGTAAATTTTGATTAGCTCACAGAAGGCACTTGAAATTTTTATATTAGATGCCAACATTTAAAATAGGCCTATTGGGCCTTCCTGGTGGCGCAAGGGGTTAAGCTCAGCACTATGAAGCTATCACCAGCCACTAAGGCCTGAGTTCCATCCCCAGCCAGGGAGCTATATGGAGCAGCAGACCTCTCCTCTCTCCAGGCTGCTCCCCTCAGCAGTGTATTTCAGTCAGTCTGCCTGTTCTGTTCCCCACTGTCTCTGGTGAATCCTCTCACCCCCACCCCCACACATACCTCTGGTCTGTACCCCAGCTCTTGTATGCATAAATAAATAAACCTTTTTTAAAAATAAAAAAGGCCTATTAAAACACAGTTCTGAATTTCTGGATCTCTCAGTCAGGTTTTTCTGAGACTATTCTAGTAAGGCAACAATCAGTTGGAGCTAAGAAGGGGCTGCCTAATTCGCCAAAGTCAACAACAACAAATTGTTTCACTACATGACTTGCATAGCTTACATTCCTGTAGGTATGTGACCTGAATCACCCCTGACCTGAATCCTCTCCATTTCCACTGCCATTACACTCATCAGTACAAAATCCCGTTTTGTAAATTACTGTGACAATCTAATATCCTTGTCTCCCTCTTATTCCTCAACTTCTTATCACCTCCCTTCTCAGAAACTTTCACTGGCCTTAGCCTCACTAGCTTCAGCTCAAATTATTTAGCTGTACACTCTACACCCTTCTCATCTGGCCTGGAAATTGCTTCCAGTTTTATGTTCTGCTGTTCAGCTATAACATTATCTAAACACCCTCCTCCTAAGGTGATAGTATTAGGTGAGTCCATACAGAAAAGCAGAGAAGAACTTAGTGAATGTCTATAAAACGTGCACGTACACTGTTTACCACAACTGATGAACTAATGTTGTTTGGTCCGTTTTTGGACATACCTCTCAGAATTTTGGTAGATTAAAGTGATCGATTCAAGCAGATCGTGCTTCAAATGTTAGCCCTACTACAAGCAAAGCCTGGCGAAACCTAACCAGACAGCAGGACCAGTCGGGAAAAATCAGACCCAGCCATGAGACTTAAGTGGAGCACCACCCCTGGCAGATTCCAGAAATGCCTCCATGCAAGGGCCCTCCACCCGAGCCCATTCGGGGGCCCAGTACCTGAGTCGCCCCCCTCGCTGGGACCCTGAGCATCAGGCTCAGAATGCGCAGTGGACGGCTGGCTTGGAACCGAGACGACGTCGGTCGAGGGTTCTGGAAGTTCGGGATCCATAGAGGAGGACCCTGCGCACGGGTTTAGGGTGTGTGTGGGAAGGGGGACTGACAGAAGGGTATGAGGGCGGCCGGCTGGGACCGAGACTGGGAGTCAGTGCAGGATCCACGCGAAGCCCGGGTCTCCGCGCCTAGAACCTCAAGAAGGCAGCAGCCGAGATTCCGCCGCAATGCGCTGGCGCCCTCGTGCACCACCCTTACCTCAGGGCGCATGCGCACCTTTTCGCGCCCCAACTCCTCACCACGCCCACCTTCCTGTAAACGTCTACCCACAAGGCCCCAGGCGCCCACTCGCCGTCGTTATGCGCGTGCGCCTGCTGAAGTTCCGCCCCCAAATCCCGTGAGCCTCTGCGAGATGGTATTTAAGTGTAGCGCGGTGTAAGCTCGGCCTCGCTTTTTTCTACTGCGGTGGTGAGTGTGTCCCTTTGCATTGTGCTCCTGAATGAATGCCCTCGTGAGCGTAGCGAGCCTCGGGTCTCTATTTGTGTTGCACCCAATTGACTGGCGGGGAGGCGGGCTGGGGGGCACCTCCGCCAGGTCGTGGCGGTCTCGAAGCGGCGGCCGGGTTTCGTGAAGGGCAAAATGGCGGCGGCGGGCGGCGCCGGCGCGCCTCTCCATGATGAGCACCTTTTCACAGACCTGTACTGAGCTCCGTGAGGAAAAGAAACTCTGAGGAGTCGGGCCTTGCGCAGCCGCCCGCAGGCGTGTTCACGGGAAGCCCCGGCTGCGAAATAATCCTCGATGACCTCGTGTTCTCATTGCAGGGCTCAGGCGGCGGACGCTGGAGAATGGGGAAGACCCCTTTGGTCGGAGTGAGTGTTCGTGGCCGCCTTTGTTCTCAGTTGGGTGTTTGGGGGCCTCATGGGGTGTGCTACGGGGATGATAACAGTAATCGAACTCTCTCTTTCTGATGGATTACTGGAGAAACCACGTGAATTCTGAGTAGCACCCCTCGCGCCCGAAACTGGAGGGTCTTGTTTTTCATGCGCGGTAAGGGCGCCAACACCGTTAGGGGTGTAAATTTAGGGAAGGTTCTTTTCGGTGTTTTCAGATGTGGCTAAGCTCCGAAGAGCATGAACGTGGCAAGAATGATCCCTGTGAAGATCAGCCTGACGTTGATGCCCCAGGTGGGTGTACGGTGGTTTATGCCATTGGGGAGAGTGGGGTAAAGGTTTACATGGGACCTGCTCCTGCAAACTTCTTTGACCACTCCATGATGAACGTGAAATGACAAGCATATGACTGAACTTAAAAGTGATGTCATCTTACTCCTGAGAAGTGGGCCGGAAGCACTAAGAGGGTTTGGGGCGCTTTTCTTGGGCACTTGTGATGTCTCCCTTTTCTTACTCCAGCAACTCAGTCACCAGTCTGGAGGAGCTCACCCACATCCTGACGTGATCAAGGTAATTTTTAAAATGAGAGGTTGGGGTGTCATCTCCAGGAGAGCCAGGTGGCTGGTGGGGCCGTGTTGCCAGTTTGCTCTTCCTGGAATGAATGAATGTCCTGGGGTAGGAGAGAGCAGCCAGTTGGTACTTGAGGGTAAAGCTCTCTCCCCCACAAGTCACTGTCAGATGATTTGAATTGATACACTGATCCTCTGTGAGGTACCATTAATAGCATGTTAGAGTTCTGATGGCAGTTTGTTGCTAGAGAAATTTCATTCCAATCTAATATTTCTAAGTAACTATTTGATTTTGCTCCCCTTTCACAGATGGTTGTGATGATGATGTATTCATCTCTTGCAAGTAAGTTGCTTCTCCCAACATTGGAATAACTTTATTTACCACAGCCTTTACTGACTCGTTCCTGGCTGATGATTCCTCTTAATTGTAGTGATATTCTTTGATTTCTTGTTTCTCATAGGTGCCTGTTGAACTGCTCTCCAGGGTCTTAACTCCCAGAAAGAGTCTAGCATGGTGAGTACTTTAACCTTAATAGTTGTACCCTGCCCCAGAGTCCAAAACCATTGAGAACACACATTCTTGTCTTTCCCTGCCTCCGATGCCATTGATGGTGAGCCCCCTGGAGCTTGACTGTGAGAGGATGAGAATTTGTTCCATAAGGACCTGAGGAAACAGCAAATCAATGCTCAGAGATAGTATTTGCTTGACTTTCTTAATCTCTCCATTAACCATAACGAGGCTATTCTGCCTGATTTTAGATACTCTGCTAATTAGATGACTTTTTTTCTTTCAGGACCACCTGAAAGACCCAAAGGACTGTAATTAGAAGGTTAGTTGATTTATGTCTCAGGCTTACACCAAGTACGCAGTTTCTGTGATGAATCAAACTAGCTCACTATGATTTATACAATGAAAATACATGAACACCTGAGAAACTGGAGAAGTCAGTTTGGGAGGTTTGTGTAAGGAACTTTTTTTGCACTAACAGTTTTGTGTTTCTTAGGTGCAATTGCCAGGAACCTGCTTGTTTGCCCAAAGGTGAGTCATTTGCATATCTTTGGGGGCACACAGCATATTTGGGTAGAAAAATGCCTGTTTCGGCACATATATATGATGACTTACATGGAATCTCGTTCGGCTGATCATTTGCTGTTGAGACTCAAAAATCTGATTTCCCAGGAAGGGTGGCTTAGGTGGGAACAACATGCTGCAGGTGAACATCCCTAACTGTCTTGTTTCTTATAGGTCCAGCACCTTGTCAGAGACCAGGAATGATTTCAGGTAAAAACACTGCTGACTTCTCACTGCTGCATAAAATTTGCTAGATTGTATGTAACACTTTGGAAAACCAGGCAAAGACATTACTGGCTAAAACCAAACTCTTTGATAAGTTCCTACTCACCAGTGATGAGTTCAATACCGCCCCAGTCTGATCACTGTGACTGAAAGGTATTTCTGAGCTGTGAGCTTTTCTTGAGAATGAAATGTAGTAACCGTGGGAATCGGTTTTACAGCCAATGTGAAGTTCTGGACTGGCTGGTGACTTCTGTAAAGCATGTGTTGATACCTGTACAGACTGCAAATACTTTCAACAGGGATTTCTAGGGATAATTGACAAGGCTTCCAATTGTTGTTTTGCAGAAAAACTAAAAGCCACGTGTCTGCTCAACTCCATACTGAAGTGTTGAGGTGAGCAAACTTGCATGCAAAGTGGGCATAGTTAAGATTTCCCAATGAAGAAACACTCAAAAGTCTTACCTCCTGTCCTAGCCCCAGAGCCTGTAAAGGTGAACCCACTGGGGCTGGCTGGGGGAAGAGAGGAAAATTTGTTCCAGAAGGAACTGTCTGAGGGAACATAAGTATTTGTTTCTAAACATGGGAGAGGGAAAATAACTTGTTGAAGTAGCAGTTGTGTGTTTTTCCAGGTTTAAAGAAAAACAAGAGAAAGTGAGCTGCAGAGTGCCTGGAGGCAGACTGTTAGCTGACATAAAGCTGTGGCCCCTTGTTCTGTGTGGAGTACCTGTGGTTTTCATCCAGTGAGAATCCAATTCTTGAAGGACATGAAGAATTCTTGTGCACTTTAGCTGTTAAAATCAGCCTGCAGGGCCTCCCCGGTGGCGCAGCGGTTGAGCGCTGGGTTGTGAAGCTCCCCGCAGCCTCTGCAGTGCCGGTTCAATCCCCGGCTGCTCCCCGGCCACCGGAGGAGGATCCCACATGGTGCGCAGACCTCTCCTGCCGCCCGCTGCTCCCCTCAGCAGTGTCCTTCGGTCCTTCTGCCTGCTCTGCTCCCCGCTCTGGCTCTGGTGAATTCTCTCACCCTCCCAGGCTTCTGACTGTACCCAGTGCTTGTATGTATGTATAAATAAAGATGGAATTTAAAAAATAAAATCAGCCTGCAATCTTTTTAGCCTTTGTTGCCAAATAAATGATTTTTTTTTTTTTTTTCCTTGAGAGTTTTAAGGTCTCTTTTCCTTCTCTATATTACCCTGCCAAAAAGATTGCTGCATGAGCTGGGGTTCAATCCCTGGCTGCCAGAGGGGGTCCCGCATGGTGCGCGGACCTCTCCTGCTGCCTGCTGTTCCCCTCAGCAACGTACTTCATCAGTCTACCTGTTCTGTTCCCTGCTCTGGCTCTGGCGAATTCTCACCCTCCCGTGCTTCTGACTGTACCCAGTGCTTGTAAAAATAAATCTTGGGGGGTGGGGGAAGATTGCTGCATGAAAAGGTTGGCAGGGCTGGGACGGGCTTTTGTGGTTTTGCGGGAAGTATAACCTCTGCAAGGGGTGGGTACCTGCACCAACAAGTCCAAACAATGTGTCAGAAGGGCCAGGCCAGGTCTTCCTCTGTTGACAGTCATTTGGCTACATTTTAGAGGAAGAGTCCAGGTAATGTGGCATAAGATTTAGGGTCATAGGCTGCAAAGCCACTTCACCTAACAAGTTTGGAGCCTGCTACTTACTAGCTGACCTTGGGAAAATACTGACTTGTACCTCGTTTCCCTGTGTAAGAGGAAAGGAAAGCGCCTACTTAACAAAACAGCTAAAAGGGGACCTGCTGCCACTGGCCAGTCTGGCTGGAGCCAGGAAAGCCAGAATGCTGCGTGAGATTTCCACATGGAATGCAGAAAAAGCCAGGAACTAATACAAGTGAGCAAGGAAGGGTGTTAGTGGCCAAGAGAGCTGGTGTCTTCTAGAAGCTGCCCAACTTCAGCCCAGAATGATCAGGAGGGAGTGAGGACCCAAGTGGTCGGCCAAGTCCTAGGGCCTCCAAGGGCCTTCTGTAGCACCTGTTCTTGCACTTGATGTGACCTCTCTTCAGGTGTCTACACATCTTAAGTCAGGTTCTTGTCTATGGCTGTGGTAGTTAACTTGGGGCTTAGCAAACGGGCTTTTAGGGTGGGGGGGGCCTCCAAAAATTCTGGAAATTATGGAAAATTGTGTAAAGCAAATGAAAATTGGGAAGTCCTCAGGGTCTCAGAAGGATTGAGGGATGCAATTTTTTAATTTGAGGAGGCATTTCTTCAACTGGCTCCATGTATAGTTGGTTACTAAATTTATAACATCCTCTTAAAAACACTGAAAGAGGGACTCTCCTGGTGGTGCAGCGGTTGAGTGTTGGCCTGGGAAGCTGCCTGCAGCATCTGCAGCGCCGGTTAGATCCCCAGCTCCGGGCGAGGGTCCCACATGGCTCACAGACCTCTCCTGCCGGCTGCTGCTCCCCTCAACAGTGTTTCGTCAGTTTACCTGCTCTGCCTGTTCTGTTCCCTGCTCTGGCTCTGGTGAATTCTCACCCTCCCACGCGCTTCTGACTGTACCCAGTGCTTGTATAAAATAAATCAATAAAAAATAAAAACACGGGAAGAAGTCTACTGTGGAATACCATTCAGCTATAAAAAGTGAAATCCTGGGGCTTCCCTGCTGACACAAGGGGTTAAGCATCAGCACTATGAAGCAATATGCAAGCCACTGCAGCACAAGTTCCATCCCAGGCCAGGGAGCTGACCCACAGGGCGCAGCAGACCTCTCCTGTCTCCCCGCTGCTTCCTTCAGCTGTGTTTCAGTGGGTCTGCCTGTTCTTTCTCTCGCTCTCTGGTGCTGTCTGTCTGTCTCTTTCTCTCTTAAGCGCGCGCGCGCGCACACACACACACACACACACACACACACACACACGCCACACCTCTGGCCTACACCCCAGTTCTTGGATGCATAAATAAATAAAAAATCTTAAAAAAAAAAAAAAAGAAATCCTATCAGTGAGCAGAACGCTGGACTCTCGCCTGAAGGATTTCAGTTGCCAGGCACCGACACCCACGCGGCTTCGATTGCCATCTCAGATATGGGGCTGCAGTTCAGGAGCTTTGAAACAGAACGTTCCACACTTACATTAATGGAGTTTCCAAGGAAACGAGACTCAGTTCCCTTCCGGGGCCTAAATCCCGTCCACAGGCGGGCTTTGCTTTGAGCCTGTAAAAGCACTTAAACTTGATCGACACTGGCCGCTGGGTCCTGGCTCCAGGAACCCGAACCCCTGAAACATCCTTCTCATTGTTCTCCCTCTGGATGGCGACGGGCAGGGCAAACGGCAATGGCGAGAAATAAGTGAGGGGAGGCGGGGTTACAATTCGGGGGGATGGAGCAGAAAGGATCCGGGAGCCCCAGAATGCCAGAAAAACGAGGTCAGAACGACCTGACGACAGGATCAGCCCAGTTACCCCATTAGGAGGTAACTCGTCCCCCACCTGACAAAGGCAGAAACGGAGCCAAAGCTACGCGCCTCCCGTCATCAAGCCAGCAAATGGCTGGGGACCCCAACTCAGTTCTTTGTGCTTCTCCAAATAAATGACACTGAGAGGGGCGTTATCCTCGCCCCTCTTCAACCAGCTAACGGTGACCACCGCTTGGCCGCCAGCAGGAGCGCCTAAAAGCCTGCAAGAAGAGGAAAACCACGATCTGGAATAAACGTGAGCGAGCAGCCTTTGCAATCACTGCACGTAGGTGCACCCAACGCAATCCCGTAAAAGGAGAGGGGGCGGGGTTATGCAAAACACAGCGCAGGGAGCTGACGGGCAGAAATAAAAGCCTATTTAACATCTTCTTCCAAGAAATATAGTTATTACGATAATGAAATGGTAATAAGAACTTAAATTTAAGAAAAAATGCTCAAAAAGTAGTCCAGTCATAAGTCCAATAAAGTCACCATAACTGTAAAGGATATGGCCAGGGCAAGCCCGGCTGGGTGGCGGTGACAACGGTATCGCTTCTCGGCCTTTTGGCTAAGATCAAGTGTAGTATCTGTTCTTATCAGTTTAATATCTGATACGTCCTCTATCCGAGGACAATATATTAAATGGATTTTTGGAACTAGGAGATGGAATAGGAGCTTGCTCCGTCCACTCCACGCATCGACCTGGTATTGCAGTACTTCCAGGAACGGTGCACCCCTCCGGGGGAAAATGTCTTGTTGAAAAAAACAGAGTGGGAAACACTTATCATTTTAAAGCGCTACGAATATTGTGTATAAGTTGCAACTAAAGGAACTCGTGCACGTTAGAAATCACTCGCAATCAGTTTCACTGAGCTGGGTTGTGAAGTGTAAGGACAGAAGCGTCTAAAATTTAAGGAACCGGAGCGCTGAAAGTAGCGAGAAATCTGCTAGTGTTTCTTTTTGCTTGTCTTTCACGGGTCAGGTGTGGGTTGTTATGTGACTCCTCGTTGCAGCTTTCTTGGTTGACGCAACAATTATAACTTAAGCAAAGCGGACTGTTGTGCTCGGAAAGCTTATGGGAAGGTCTGCAGCTGAGCTGCACATCTAGGCTGCCCTCGTCCAGACTCGAGGGTGAAGAATGAGTTGTTTTGTTTGCTGATGCTCTGTACACAGCAAGGGTTCTTTTAATTCTTCAGTTTTATAGCTAAACCACTCGTTTACTGACCGGGTACAGGGTACAACTGCACAAGTGCACATGCTTCGCCCACGCCCCCACAAAGTTCAGTGTCGCCGTCCTTTCACCACAACCCCCGCCTTTCTCCCAGTAACCATGTTTTTAAGTCTGAGTTATTTTTGTGGTGTTTTCTTGGTTCTTTATACTCCAAATATGAATTTCATTTTCTTAGCATCATTTAGAGTTTCATCCATATCGTGAAGGGCACAATTCCATCTTTTTCAATAGCAGGGTAGTGGCTTATTGACTATATATAGATTTTAAAGATTTTTTAAAGATTTGTTTATGTACACAAGAACTGGAGTACAGGCCAGAGGTGCGGGGGGCTGGGGGCGCTGTGTGTGAGAGAGGATTCACCAGAGACAGAACGGGAGCAGAACAAGCAGACTGACTGAAATACACTGCTGAGAGGCACAGCGGGGAGACAGGAGAGGACTGCTGAGCCCTGGGAGCAGCTCCCTGTGGAGGGGGGGGGGGGGGGGGGGGTAGGGATAGAACTCATGCTGCAGTGGCTGGTGAGTTTCATAGCGCTGAGTCTTTAACCCCTGCGCCACCAGGGAGGCCCCCTATTGATTACAAACTTCTTTATCCAATCGGCCTTGATGGGCCTTTAGGTTGGCTCCATGTCTTGGCTGCTGTGAACATTGAGGTACATAAATTTTGAATTAGTTCATAGTCTTCGGGTAAATACCTAGAAGTGGCATTGCTCAGTCCTATGAGATTTCCATTTTTAGCTTTTTAAAGGAATCTCCGCGAGGGCTTCCATAGGGGCTGCACCAATTTACATTCCCACCAACAGTTGCCGGAGTCCAGCTCCAGCCGAGGTAGGGTACACGAAGGAAAGGACGGCGTCGGCAAATGAGGAGACACAGACACTCCAACAGGGTGCAAGCATTTCCTACTGATAGCCTCAGCGAGCTTTATTTATACATCGGAAATTGTTATTTAATCATTACATCATGCAATCATGCGATTTTTTATTTGTAGATCATTAACAGTGCACAGCCCTTCAATTTTCCTAGTCTGTGATTAATTTGGCTATATTATTTCCTTAAGTGACATACATTTTCTCAGAAATAGAAACATGTGCTAAACAAAGTGTGATTTATGTGATTAAGCCAGTTAACTAAAATAAGGTTAAGCAAGCATTGTGAAATCAAAGGTGGCTTCCTAATTTATGTGCTGGGCCAAAGGGTCCCCATGCCATGGGAACAGTACGTGGTGTAATTTTTCTAGAGCCATTTCGTCTCTGAGGTGCCTCAGAGTCTTCTCTAGTGGGGACTTTTACTGGGTTTGGTTCCAATAGTTCTATCAAGCATAATTTGCTAAAGAATCCAGCATTGCTCATGATAAATGATTTACAAATGGGAGGACGTGGAGAAATATTGGAAACCGTTTCACTATCAATCGTGTTGGAAGGCACATTTCTCAAACTACTTAAATATGCATTACCAAAACTGGCATGAATGCCAACACT